CAGCTTATTCTCCAAAGGGGATGGTGATTTAAACTTTGCTTCTGACAGGCCAAGCTCTTCCTTCTGTTTTTCCACATGCTTTCAATTGTTCTTGCTTTACTGAGTTTTGTTTCTCAGCCTGAGCTCTTTTGTTTGCCTTGGTATCAGGCTGATTGGTCATGTTCAGTGGAAATTCCCTCCTCTGAGCTTATCCTCAGCATGAGAAGAATGGTGAGTCAGCCTGTGATGGGCTGCCAGAGACTGCAGCTGTAGTTGAATCCCAGCAGAACATGCTCCATTTTATTAAGTTCCTGAAGTCAGTGGGGCTTAGGAGCTTCCTTAGCCCCCCTAGGAGACCTCTCCCATTTGTATTTTAATTCAAAAGCCACATGGTCTGTATGGATGCGAGATACCTTGCATTCTTTTCTTACAAGAAAGGTACTGGGGAGGCTCTTTTCTTGGGGAGGGTCTTTATATGACGTGCTTTGTGTCAGACAGACACTCAAATACAGGAGTTAGCTGGCTGATCTTGCATCTCCATTGTGCCTCTGATTCGGATGTCCTTGGTATAAAACCCCACTGCAAGATGAGAGGAGCTCAAATGGTTTAAAGATGAGGCCTGATCTGCTTGTAACCACTGTCTCCTCTTACAGGTTCACGAGTCTTTCCACAAACACCTGAAGCCAATGCAAGCCAAGCTGTGAAACCTGCTGTTTTTTTTCCTCAGCTGAACACTGTGTCCTTCCTTCAGGCACCTAAATCAAAGCTCTCAAACCCTGGTAGCTGTAGGGCAGTGAAGAACTGTAGCCTTTCTTTCCACTTTTCTAAGTCGAGGAGGTGTTTGGGGAGAGTGCATAGGGATCGATGCCTGTTTTTAAAGTGCAATTCTAATGGTAAGATTAACCTTTTAGAAATCTGGGAAAGCTTTATCTATTCACACAAGGGTTGCTTTTGTGAAGCTGCTAACTGGAGACAAGTTGCTGTCAACTGGAAAGGTGGCAGGATTTTACTACTAGGTAGTCAAGATCCCTCAGGCCATGGCTTCTAAAGAGCAGTTCTGTCCTCCCCCCAAAAAAGCATCAATGTCTTGATTTTGGTTTTATTTTTAAGATTAGCACCAGCTCTCTCCTTGTTTGGCAAATATTTATGCTCCCTAAAGCCTCCTGCATAGCTTTGTGCACATCAGTCTGCATGGGCACTCCTTTCCTGATGTAGCTGGGAAGGAAATACTCATCCTTCTGGAAAGTAAATTCCCATCCTCCCCTGGAGCTCTGCTTTCTTCATCCTTCCAGAAAACATCCTCATGTTTTCCAGTGCATCCTTTCACTGCCTTTCACTGCTGCCTTCTCCTGCCTCCACACGGGTCTCCTCTGCACATCCCTGCTTTATCACGCAACTGGTTAAGTGCTGTGCTTGTCTCAAGTATGAGGGGAGGCTGTGAGTGCTGTGGGGGCTGGACTCTTCTCATAACTGATGGGAGAGGGTGAAGAAGGAGCCAGGCTCTTCCCGGCAGTACCAACCGGCAGTGCAAGAGGTAAAGGGCACAAATCAAACACATGAAATTCAAGGCAAATCTTAGCGTGAGGCAGGTCGAAGAGTGGACCAGGTTGCCCAGAGAGGCAGTGGAGGCTCCATCCTTAGAGGTGTTGAAAACGCAACTGGATTACGTGCTAAGCAAGCAGGTCAAGGTGACCCTGCTGAACCAGTTGGCTGGCACTAAAGGATCTCTGGAGGCCTCTTCCACTCCCAGCGATTCTGAAACTCTGCCAACAGGTAGGAGTAATGTGTCCCATCAAAATCTTACTTCAAATGTTGTGTGACAGAAAGTGCTTTACTTGTATTTTCTTTTTTGATCCTATGACCTGTTGAGCATTTCTGAAGGCAAGGTGAAGAGCATCCACTGCTCGTGCCTTCTCCGTCAGGCTACTCACCTCCCTGTAGAAGACGGGCAGCTTGGTAAGAATGACTTCTCCTTCATAAACCCACGCTTCCCGAATCCCAAGCACCTTCCTGTGCTACCTGTTCTTGTAACACACTTCCCAGGTATTTTGCTCTCTCATCATTGCAGATGATCAAGGAATCATTGTGTGGTTCAAGGAGTCAGTGAGATTCCTGTGAGTTTATGGATCTGCCCTGTTTCCCTTCTTGTTCCTCTTCCCTAGGTGCACAGACAGAAGAGGCTGAGGTGTGTGCTGTGAAACTTGAACACCTTGTCTCAAAACAAAGCCTTATCTGTTGCAAACCCTGAGCTGGCCGACGAGGATGGGATTCGAACCCACGTGTGCAGAGCACAATGGATTAGCAGTCCATCGCCTTCACCACTCGGCCACCTCGTCAGTGTCCTCCCTGCTCCTGCTAGTGCTGCTGCTGCTGTTGCTGCTGCCGCTGCTGCTGCTTGTGCTGGTGCTGGTGCTGGCTCCTTATACTGATTGATGGGGGAGAGTATGTAAAAAATGACTGATTTAGTGTCCCTCAAAAAATGACCATCAAAGGTATAAGCAAGAGCAGATTAGAAATAGGGCATGATTGAACAGAATTATATGGCAAGGCTCACTCTGCTACTTATTACATAGATGAAGTGTAGAAAGGGAAATCGAGGTGAAACTGAGCTAAAGGGGATTGGGATAGTGCCTGAAGGCACAAAGATGCAAGGGAGACCCTGCTGCCGAGTCATGAGGTTCAGAAGAGATGCCCCCTGCTTTCTACACTCCTGACAGAGACTGGGTGCGGCTGGATCTTGTCTTAGTCTCAGACTTGGTCAACAATTTGTGTCTAATGGAATGCTTAAAGGAAAATCAAGGTAGAACCAAGCTAAAATGATTTGTATGGAGACTGAAGGTGACAAGGGTAAGGGGACCCTCCCCTTAAGTGACAACATTCAGAACAGACCCCTGTTGCTTTCTAAACTCCTGATGGAGCCTGGGTGCGCCTGGCTCCTATCTGAGTCTCAGACTCAGCCAACGGTGCGTGCAGTGGAACGTAACCTTGAGAGTTTCTGAACTCTGAGGGGTGCCCCACTCAGAGGGAGTGACCTGCTTGCAGCTCACTGCAGTCCAGGAGAGCCCAAAGTGTCTCTCTCCTGGGACAGTTACTTACAGGCTCATAAGATGATTGGCCTTAGCCATCAGTTCCATCGTGACCTCAGTGATGTGTGTGTTCCACAACAGTTCTATTCCAGCTTGTCAGGAAATGCCTGCACAGCCCAGAAGTGCTCCGGGTACAGTCAAGGAGTTCCCAACCATCGAGATCTCTGAGTGCTGCACTCTACCTTTGCCAGGCAAGAACAGTTCTTGCTAAAGCCATACAGCACCCAGCCATTCAGCTCGTTGCACTCGTGGAAAGGCAATCTCCATTGCCATGGGAGGGCAATTTTTCCCAAGTCCCAAGCTCAAAGGCTTCATTAACCCCCTGGATCAGCTCGTTTTCTATGCTTTGATACATATTCCTGCAGGACACAGCAACTAGTAACAATAAGCGTATGAGAACTTAACCTTTAAAATTTGCTAACAGTCCACTATTTTCTATCTTAGCACAGTCCAGTTTCTTCTTATCTTGCTTGCACTTCTACTTTTGCTACTGCTACTTTTCCTTCTTTACCCACGTCCTACTTCATCCTCGGTTCATGTCAAGCTCCACGTAGGCACTTACTGACTTGGGAATGTGGCCATTCTTTGCTAAAAATCCACCCACAGTTGGGGAGTTCCAAACCATCGAGATCTCTGAGTGCTGCACTCTACCTTTGCCAGGCAACAACAGTTCTTGCTACAGCCATGCAGCACCCAGCCATTCCGCTCGTTGCACTCATGGAAAGCAATCTCCCTTGCCATGGGATGTCGAGGGCAAAAGAGGAGCTCTGTCAAGCCCAGAAACTATGGAGAAAGACGTAGTTTTACCAGGGAGGAACGCTCACAGACACTCTGCTGGCTGGGACTGTTGAAGAGGGAAGGGGCAAAGAAAGATGACTCTTGAAGTGGTAATGACCGACGTCTTTATTGGGATAATCAACGGAAAAAGGGAACAGAGGAGAACTTAAGCAACGCATTTTGGAGGCCGAGGAAAGGTCGGGTAAGAGGTGGGAACTGAGGGGAAAGCCGAGCAAGAGAAGGAAGGCAGAGGTTTCCTGGGCAGAGAGAGAAGGGCAGCGCAGGCCGGTTCCTGCAGGCGGAGCGTCCGGAGCTCGGCTCCTCTGCAGAGCACAGGCACGCGCTCGGGGCTGTCTCCAGGGCTTTCGTGGAGGCTGCTGGCGCTGGAGCACGGGCAGGCAATGCACGGGCTTCAGCATAAGAGATTGGCACGTCCCAGAGCCCCGCCGAGCCCCCGGCCCAGCCCTGCCCAGCCATAGCCCCCCAGCCCCAGGGAGCCCCCAGAAGCGATGGGCACGCTGGCAGCGCTGAGAGAGCTGCCCACGGCAGCCGAGGCGCTGGATCCCACGGCTGTGCTCTGCGGGAAGGAGCTGAGGATCGGGCCCGGCAGCGTCACCAGCACTGGCGAGGGCTGGATGGCAACGCTGGAGTCGGCGCAGCGCAGGACGCACGGCTCGTTGCAGCTGTTGGCAAGCGGGGTTGGGCCGCAGGCAGCGGGCAGGCACGGGCTGTAGCACGCCATGGCTGCTGGAGGGAGGAGAGCCTGCGGGACCCCGACAGGGAGCAGAGGCCATGAGCTGCCGGGCCCTGGCAGGCGCCAGCTCCGCGCCTCTGGCAACGGGCACTGCCTGGCCAGGGCCAGGGCCAGGGAAAAGCCCTCCCTCTTCCCGCACCATCCCAGCTCCCAGCACCCGGGAGCACAGGGCATTTTCCAGCCTCCAGCCCTGCTCAGAAGGACCCCGCACAGGAGCCGAGCAGTCCCCCTCCAGCTGCTCCGGTGGGGAGGGCCCCAGAGAGAGTCCTCATTAAGCCCCTTCCCAGAATGGGAATACGGATGCTGGGGTTTTCAGGTGCGTTGAGCACAGCCTTGACGCTGTGGCCTTAGGCAGGGAAAGATTTTCTCTTGCGGATCAAAGGTTCCCTCTCCTTGGAATCGGCTCTGCACTTCCTGGCCATCAGCCCTGGTACCAGCACCCATCTGTTCACGCAGCCAAACGCCCTGCCCTGGAGTGCCCTGGTCTTGCCAGGTGGGGCTCCTCTCACCCTGCTCTCAGGAGGGGACGTGGCTGAGCACAACGCAACAGGCTCCTGAAGACAGCAGCCACTACGGAGGAAGGCGTGAATGCTGGGACTAGCTCTCCTGAGGGAGCTCCTCATCCTGCCATTAGTGCAAAAGCAGCATCGCTGAACTGGGGATGCTGGAGGAAGTGCCCAGTCATCGGATAGATGGTGCTGGCCGTAGGACCTGAGCCTCGGAAGGAGCCACGGCTGGCAAAGAGACCAACCCGTGTCCTGATCCACATCCCAGCCCATTCACCAAGAACCAGGGAGGCCCTCACCCCAAAAACCTGTTCTGCCGACCAGGGAGACAAGAGGCAAAGTGAACTGAGACTTACCAACTTCCCGGAGCAGAGGAAGGCGCGAGGAGAGGATGGAGGAGCTGGCAGTTGGGCCACTTTTATACTGCGGCCCAGAGCCCCAGGGGAGCTGAAAAATGACCCAAACACGAAGCATGTTGAGAAACGGCAATTTTGGCTTCTCAGAGCTCGGCTGGAAGATGAAAGACATGCCTCCTCTGCCTGAAATGCTTGGTCCCTTTTCATCCTGGACAAACCACTCCTGTCACTGTGTTGATAGCAATTGTGGTTCTCCCACAGACCAGCGCTCCTTTGAGGTCCCATTCCAGGTGCTGGTGAAGCCTGGGGGCAGATTGAGGCCATGACTGGGTGTTGTGCATGTCCTGCCCTTCCTGGGCAACATGGCCACTGCTTACTTAGCACTCGGCCTGTGGAGCAAGCCTGAAGGGCACTCAGAAGGGTCTCCCTATGGTGGGCTCTGGCTGGCCCTGAGCAAGACCAGTGCCTGCAGGCTATGGAGATGCTTAGAGCCCAGCCAAGCCCCTGCAGGACGGGTGCTCTGCTGAGGGGACTGGGAATGCCGGGGTGGTTGGGAGGTGATGGTCAAACAAAGCCCCCCTGAGCTCGGGAGGGAAACCCTCTCCCGAGGAGAAGCAGCGGCTCAGCACGTCCTGGAGAGCGATGAAGGAGCTGTTGACTCATGCCTGAGTGTGAGCCATCCCCAAGTGGACCTGTTGGCTTCGGCACGCTCTTCCCAGAGAAAACAACGCTCCTCTTGCATCAGTGGAGGGTGGCTTGTTCAGGTCACTTGACCCGGAGGGTCCGGCTTGTTTTGCCCAGCTCAGGGACAGATGGGCGCCTTCAGGGCCCTTTAATTGCAAGGGGGCAGCAGCAGCCACCAGAAAGTGCTGAGCCACTCGGAGAGACCTCAGCTCCACCTCGGGGTGAATCACCCATGCCCTGGCCCCAGGGGCTCTGAAGCAAACGGCTTCAGATGTGCAGAGGTGCAGCTTCACATGCGTGTTCGTTCCTGCAGGCATGCAGCTTTTGGCACAGTGCCTTGGCTGTGCCTGAGCAGAGCTGAGGCAGCTGGAGAGGGCACACACATCCACTGCCTCAGCAGCCCTGCGGGAGCGCCCGAGGGCAGGAAGCGGACACCACAGGCCCGCACTTGCTCCCCGGGAAGCCTTCTGCTTTGAACTGCTTGCACCAGAGGACACGTCCTTCCCAGGCTGACGACTCACTTTGGGAATGAGAATTTTGGGACTGAGAAATGACACATTGCCCTGCAGCAAGACCTTTCCCCCTTCAACCTTTTTGTCCCTGCTTTGAGGCCACCTCTAGGACTGCCTCCAGTGCCCCCCTCTTTCACACAATGGTGCTTCTCTCCATCCCACAAAGGGTCCTTCTTTGGCCTTCACCTTCCAGCCACCCCTGGGGATCTGAGTTCCCTTCTTTCTGTGTCCCTCCTCCAGAAAGGCATCCGGCCGGGACTTGGCTGCTTACTGAGCCCTTCCGTGGCCCTGCGGGACCTGTGCTCCTCAGCCTCAGCCCTTCCACAGGTGACCCAGGTGAGTGCCCTTCATCAGCAGCGCTCTGCAGCTCAAGGCCAGGCTGAGAGGGGCCCTCCCGCTGCCCAGCAAGGCTGTGCACGACCCTCACACAGGGCCTGGAGCTGCTGAAACCCTTTCTGGAAGCTGGCGGGGAGCTCCACGGCCGTTGCTTTGAGCAGCAGCATCGGATGCATCACCGCTGCGCTCTCCCCCAATGGGGAAATGCAAATCAGACCTTTCAGATGAAAGAGACCATTCTCCATCTCATGGCTGTGCTTTGCAAACCCCAAATTGCTGTTTGTTAACGCGCTTCACACAGACACACGTGTTCCGCGTGTCCCGAGGCGCTGGCTCACCGTATAAAAGGCCGTGCTACTCCAGGCCCTTCCATCCCCAGCTCTTCCCTTGCTCTCCGCGGTGAACTCGGTACGTCTGAACTCCCTTCTTCTCTTCCTGTGGGTAGAAAGGGACTGCTCGGCTCCTGTGCGGGGTCCTTCTGAGCAGGGCTGGAGGCTGGAAAATGCCCTGTGCTCCCGGGTGCTGGGAGCTGGGATGGTGCGGGAAGAGGGAGGGCTTTTCCCTGGCCCTGGCCAGGCAGTGCCCGTTGCCAGAGGCGCGGAGCTGGCGCCTGCCAGGGCCCGGCAGCTCATGGCCTCTGCTCCCTGTCTGGGTCCCGCAGGCTCTCCTCCCTCCAGCAGCCATGGCGTGCTACAGCCCGTGCCTGCCCGCTGCCTGCGGCCCAACCCCGCTTGCCAACAGCTGCAACGAGCCGTGCGTCCTGCGCTGCGCCGACTCCAGCGTTGCCATCCAGCCCTCGCCAGTGCTGGTGACGCTGCCGGGCCCGATCCTCAGCTCCTTCCCGCAGAGCACAGCCGTGGGATCCAGCGCCTCGGCTGCCGTGGGCAGCTCTCTCAGCGCTGCCAGCGTGCCCATCGCTTCTGGGGGCTCCCTGGGGCTGGGGGGCTATGGCTGGGCAGGGCTGGGCCGGGGGCTCGGCGGGGCTCTGGGACGTGCCAATCTCTTATGCTGAAGCCCGTGCATTGCCTGCCCGTGCTCCAGCGCCAGCAGCCTCCACGAAAGCCCTGGAGACAGCCCCGAGCGCGTGCCTGTGCTCTGCAGAGGAGCCGAGCTCCGGACGCTCCGCCTGCAGGAACCGGCCTGCGCTGCCCTTCTCTCTCTGCCCAGGAAACCTCTGCCTTCCTTCTCTTGCTCGGCTTTCCCCTCAGTTCCCACCTCTTACTCGACCTTTCCTCGGCCTCCAAAATGCATTGCTTAAGTTCTCCTCTGTTCCATTTCCCCTTCATTATCCCAATAAAGACGTCGGGCATCAGCTCCTCAAGAGTCATCTTTCTTTCCTCCTTCCCTCTTCCCCAGTCCCAACCAGCAGTGTCTGTGAGCGTTCCTCCCTGGTAAAACTATGTTTTTCTCCATAGTTTCTGGGCTTGACAGAGCCTCCTCTTTTGCCCTCGACATCCCATGGCAATGGAGATTGCCTTTCCACAAGTGCAACGAGCCGGATGGCTGGGTGCTGCATGGCTTTAGCAAGAACTCTTGTTGCCTGGTAAAGGTAGAGTGCAGCACTCAGAGATCTCGATGGTTGGGAACTCCCCAGCTGTACCTGGAGCACTTCTGGGCTGAGCAGGCATTTCCTTAGTCTGAGACTGAGACAGGAGCCAGGCGCACCCAGGCTCCATCAGGAGTTTAGAAAGCAAGAGGGGTCTGTTCTGAATGTTGTCACTTAAGGGGAGGGTCCCCTTACCCTTGTCACCTTCAGTCTCCATACAAATCATTTTAGCTTGGCTCTACCTTGATTTTCCTTTAAGCATTCCATTAGACACAAATTGTTGACCAAGTCTGAGACTAAGACAAGGTCCAGCTACATCCAGGCTCTGTCAGGAGTTTAGAAAGCAGGGGGCATCCGTTCTGAACCCCATGGCTCAGCAGCAGGGTCTCCCTTGTATCTTTATGCCTTCAGGCACTATCCCAATCCCCTTTAGCTCTTCCCTCTCTACACTTCTCCTATGTAATAAGTAGTAGAGTGAGCCTTGCCATCAAATTCTGTTCAATCATGCCTTTTTTATAAACTGCTCTTGCTAATAGCTTTGATGGTCATTTTTTGTGTGACCCTAAAGCAGTCATTTTCCACCACACTCTCCCACATCAGCAGAATGAAATGCCAGGAGCATCAGCGTCAGCATCATCAGTTGCAGCAACCTGCTCTAGTCGAAGGTCTCCCTGGCCATGGCAGGGGCTTTGAACTCGATGATCTTAAGGTCCTTTCCAACCCAAACCATTCTATGATTCTACCACACTTCACTCTGAATGTACTCAATTGTCAAAAAGCAGCAGAGAAGCAATGACAACTACACGTACAAGCAGTGGCAGCTACAACGTGCTTCAAACAGCCAAGAATTACACTTCTGTTCAGCTTTCCCACATTTTCTTTCTCCTAGAAGGACTCACACTTTGGGTGCTTTAATGCTTGGACATTGTTAGGCAAAGGAAGGGGGGAGAAGAAAGCCCACCTAAATCACCTAAAGCGCATTCGAGGTTTAAGAGATGCTGATCTTGGCTAAAGCTCAGGCTTTGACAAGCAGATCTCAGCCGTGCCAGGAAACCCTCACTCCAGTCTGGAAGCTGGGCAGAATCCCCCTGACACAAGGGCTCCCAAGTGTTACAGACGGGCATTAACAACCAAAGCACACGGGAAAATGCAAATGCCCCCAGGAATCATCTCCAGAGCAGGGCCTGGGGAAGAGCAGGACACTTTGGGGACAGGCATATCTTAAATGCAACCCCTCTGGCTCTCTTCCCACAGAGATCAACAAGGTCCCACTGGGAACGCTTTGTACCAGGGAACAGCCACACGGAGTTTGGAGGGGGGCAGCAGCACGGCTGCTCCTGCTGCTGATGCTCGGCCCCACCCCTGCCCGCGCCGGCTTCCCCTCCCTGTGCAGAGAGGAATGAGCCTGCAGCGCCGACAGACAGAGCAGGGGCACCGCTCGGCAGCTCAAACCGCCGCCACTGGCCGCCGCGCCCGGCAAGACACGGCCCGGCGGGGGGCACTCGGGTACCACCGCCACCAGCGGCAAGATGAACCAAGTGGCCAATGCCCTGCCCCGGCGCAGGGCAGCACGGCATTAACACACATCCCTGTCCAGAAACACGGCTGAAACAATGAACCAACAGCTCTGTGAATTAAAGCTGCTCCTGCCCAACACCACCATCACACCTCTGCTACTTGACGTGAGATCCTGAAGGCAGTGCACGAAATAGACACATTTTGTCTGAAAACAGTTTATTAAATCTGTACATACCTCCTCAGTACTCTTCCCAGCAACATAATTTTAACCTGCTCCTCCATCACCTCTCCACAGGTCTATCAACTGAGTTCTGCTCTCAGATACTGGCTTCATCATTCCAGGTCAAATCTGCAGTTTCTAGCACTACACGTAGTTTTTCACATCAAGTCTCCATTGCATAACATTTGTAAAGTGCTTTGAGAGAGCGCCATGAAAACTCTAAGGTAGAGAAAGGGCGAAATATCTCTTAGCAGCACCTATCTGCTTACTACGACAACATTCCTTTTTTTCCCCCTCCGAGCAGCATCACTATATCCTCCTTTGCCTTCACACTAGAGTCTGGGGCCAGCGATGGAGAAGGCACACAGCAAAAGTTGTTGCTGCAGGGCAGTGAAAGGTTGCACTGGAAAACATGAGGATGTTTTCTGGAAGGATGAAGGAAGCAGAGCTCCAGGGGAGGATGAGCATTTCCCTCCCAGCTACATCAGGAAAGGAGTGCCCATGCAGACTGATGTGCACAAAGCTATGCAGGAGGCTTTAGGGAGCACAAATATTTGCCAAACAAGGAGAGAGCTGGTGCTAATCTTAAAAATAAAACCAAAATCAAGACATTGATGTTTTTTGGGGGGAGGACAGAACTGCTCTTTAGAAGCCATGGCCTGAGGGATCTTGACTACCTAGTAGTAAAATCCTGCCACCTTTCCAGTTGACAGCAACTTGTCTCCAGTTAGCAGCTTCACAAAAGCAACCCTTGTGTGAATAGATAAAGCTTTCCCAGATTTCTAAAAGGTTAATCTTACCATTAGAATTGCACTTTAAAAACAGGCATCGATCCCTATGCACTCTCCCCAAACACCTCCTCGACTTGGAAAAGTGGAAAGAAAGGCTACAGTTCTTCACTGTCCTACAGCTACCAGGGTTTGAGAGCTTTGATTTAGGTGCCTGAAGGAAGGACACAGTGTTCAGCTGAGGAAAAAAAACAGCAGGTTTCACAGCTTGGCTTGCATTGACTTCAGGTGTTTGTGGAAAGACTCGTGAACCTGTAAGAGGAGACAGTGGTTACAAGCAGATCAGGCCTCATCTTTAAACCATTTGAGCTCCTCTCATCTTGCAGTGGGGTTTTATACCAAGGACATCCGAATCAGAGGCACTCTGGAGATGAGAGATCAGCCAGCTAACTCCTGTATTTGAGTGTCTGTGTGACACAAAGCACGTCATATAAAGACCCTCCCCAAGAAAAGAGCCTCCCCAGTACCTTGTAAGAAAAGAATGCAAGGTGTCTCGCATCCATACAGACCATGTGGCATTTGAATTAAAATACAAATGGGAGAGGTCTCCTAGGGGGACAAATGAAGCTCCTACGCCCCACTGACTTCAGGAACTTAATAAAATGGAGCATGTTCTGCTGGGAGTCAACTACAGCTGCAGTCTCTGGCAGCCCATCACAGGCTGGCTCACCATTCTTCTCATGCTGAGGATAAGCTCACAGGAGGGGATTTCCTCTGAACATGACCAATCAGCCTGATACCTATGCAAAGAAAACAACACAGGCTGAGAAACAAAACTCAGTAAAGCAAGCTAAGGCACATGAAAAACAACAGGTGCTTGGTGACAGCCAGCAGGGCTTCACTAAGGGGAAATCCTGCCTGACCAATTTGGTGGCCTTCTATGATGGGGCTACAGAACTGATGGACAGGGGTAGAGCAGTTGATGGCATCTACCTGGACTTATGCAAAGCATTCAACACTGTCCCACACGGCATCCTTGTCTCTAAATTGGAGAGACATCAATTTGATGGATGGACCACTCGGTGGATAAAGAACTGGCTGGATGGCCACACGCAAAGAGTTGTGGTCAATGGCTCAATGTCCGGCTGGAGACCAGTAACGAGTGGTGTCCCTCGGGGATCGCTTTTGGAACCGGTCTTGTTCAACATCTTTGTTGCTGACATGGACAGTGGGATTGAGTGCACCCTCAGCAAGTTTGCTGATGACACCAAGCTGTGTGGTTCGGTTGATACCCTGGAGGGAAGGAATGCCATCCAGAGGGACCTCAACACGCTTGTGAGGTGGGCTGATGCCAACCTCATGGAGTTTAACCATGACAAGTGCAAGGTCCTACCCCTGGGTCGGAGCAATCCCAGCACAGCTACAGGTTGGGC